ATGACTGATTTGGTGACTGGAGGAACCCAGCCCCATTGAGATTGAGTCCTGCAAGATAGCTCCATTGGGGGTGAGGGCTTGCAGAAGGAAGAGATACAGCTCCGTATAGTAACACAAGCAGCACATTGACAGAATCACCAAGACCCTAGAAACTATCCCTAATAAATGAGCACACCCCAAAGTAATGGGCAAATTTGGTAACACATATGTGATGGAGGGACAGGGTAAGATCAATAATACTGAGCTTAATGAGTTGTATCAAAGCATGGTAGCAATGGGGAACACAGCCAGCCAGCAGCAGGCTGAGACCTGGGTGTCATGGATACCCTTCAGTACCTCAGTACATTCTCAACTAACAAAGCCACTGGAGCCTCTCTTTTTGAGCATCGCCATACCCACCTGCTGCATCAAGGACTTCTTTGTCTATCCTGTCAGACAGAAGACAGAGCAGCCCATGTTTTCCAGCTACCCTGGCCAGCAGTTCTGACTGTGGGATAGGTTCATCTGAGTCCCATTGTTCGATGCTGCAGCTACAAAGGATACAGAAAAGTCACAATCATGTTAACACAAAAGAAAAAGGTTTCCTGCCACTGCAGTGCCCTGTTCCAGGTGGTTTTACTGCATTTGGCAAAGGGTGGGATGGCAAGCAGAAAAACAGAGTGAAAAACACTATTTTAAGGCAAGAACACCAGGGTCCTTCCTTTCTTGCTCCGCTGATTTCTCTTTCCCAGCTTGGTACTAGGGCTTAATTACAAAAACATACCTAGTAGGGCTGTGCAAAACGGCTAAGTTTCATTTCTGTTTTGGATTTGGCCGTTTTGGAGGACAGTGATTTGTTTTGGTGTTTTGGATCACTGTTCTGTTTTGATTCGGCCAGCTGCTGCGTGGGTGCCAGGTGGGGCGGGGATCCCCACTGCCCCACACTGCACAGGGGGTGGGGGCAGGGGGCGGGCTCTGCCACAGGCCCTCACGAGGCCCTGATCACCACTGCTACAGCTGGTGAGTGCGGGGCTTTTTTTCCTTTTTCTTTTTTAAGTGCTGGGAGGCTGGGGCCGGGCAGAGCAGCTGTAGGGGCTTTTCCTGGGGCTTGTTGGGGCGTGGTCCGGGGGCCCCCCCCGGTGTGCCTGCCGCTGCCCTGGCAGGGGGAGCTGCGGGAAAAGCCCCCATGGCTGCCCTGCCCAGTTCCATTCCCTACCCAGCCCCAGCCTCCCAGCACTTTAAAAGGAGGGCTGCAGGACTGTGCCAGACTCTTCCCGGGAGGCATGAGCCCCGAGATCTGCGTGCAGAATGACAGCAGGCTGCTGTCCCTTCCCCAGACCACTGGGATTGGAAGGGACCTCAGGGACAGTTCAGAGACACTGGCCAGCTACAGGTGTCAGTATCAGAGTAGTCCTTCCCCCACACTTCTGAATTTCTGTTTCCCTCCAAGCCCGCCTCTGAGACATTTCTGAAACATTTCAGATGGTTTTGTTTTGTTTCAGAGATGTTTCAGAACCTTCTGTTTCATTTTGGATTTCATGTTTCAAGTGCCAAAACACACCTCTGAAACAAAATGGTTACTGAAATTTCGCACAGCCCTAATACCTAGGGTACAATGGGGCTCTCTCTAATATATACACACCAACTGCGACCTGATATAAAAATGAATTGACAAGTTCTTTAAGGGCCGACTAAAGTTAAAGTTTTAGAAAAGAAAAGGAAAAAACCTTAGATTTCTATTTTAGTTGTTTTTCTGTTGTTTCTTTAAAAAATGAAATCTGAATTTAATCAAATTGCATTAAGGCCTATACTTATTATAACCTCCCAAAACATTTAAATAAAAAATGTTTTATTTAAAGCCTCTGTCAAATCCTTTGCATTGTAAGTTGTGTGCTTTTCTCTATGAAGGAAGAATCAAGAGAAAAACATCTAGTTTTTATAGACTATTTCTTGTCTTCGATTAAATTTCAGCTAACATCCCAATGCAGTTGCTTGACCCAAATTGTAAGCAAATCTAATAAAAAAGTAACACATGGTTTTCTAACTTAGTAACATAAAATTATTAAGAACCTGAAAATATTAAGCTATATATTTGCTTAAAATGTATATAATTATAGTGTAGCTTCCTAAGGCAGCAAAAAGATGCACCAAATCTAGTATAAAGGTTCTATTTTGTCATAAATCTACATGCTTTGATGGTTGTCAGCCAGTGCGAATTAACCTTTCTTTAGGGGAAAAAACTGAAATACAGATGGAAAAGGCAGTTAACATTGATGATTTAAACTGAGGCTTTCCATTTCACAATTTAAATCATGATTTACACCAGAGATTTAAGCCAGTCCACCCTGCATTCTTTCAATGACCACAGCAAGTCAGCTGAAGGATTAAGATGGATAGTGGGATTTCTTAATGCTTACAGCTAAGAACATTTATCCTGTGACATCCTGGCAGCACATGCTCATGTGAGCACTAAATTAACCCCTGGAACATGCTCTGAGCTAAGCCTCCAGCACCTGGCTGCTGCTTCACTTTCAGCTCATTCATATCTCTGCAGCAAGGCTGGAGTGACTGTGACCATATGACATTTGTCCTGCATCCTTTTCATTGGCTATCTATAAATCAGGAGAGCAACGCTGGAAATAGCAAGTTGCAGTGTGCCTGAAATTAAGTATGCATCCAGAGCTTTGCTGGGGTCTCACAGAAAAAAACATTCTTGTTAGTTTTGCTTATGCCACTAGGGTGTCAATATTACAGAGTAGCTACAGGGGCTCCCAGGATTTCTGACTCTCCAGCGTCACAGACTCCAGGAACACATTCTAGGACTTCCAAGCTGCTTATCCCAGCTGCATGGCAGTCTGCAAGTTTTGAGAGCTGGGGTTGCAGCTGGGGTGCTCAGAGCTTTCCAAAACCCTGCTGCAGAGGCAGGAGCTAAACCCAGGTTAGAGCTGGGGCCTGGGATACACCACAGAGAGCCTGCAAGCTCTGGCTGCACGTCCTGGAATCCCAAAATCCCCAGACCTGGGACAGTCCATGTGCTGGGCTTGCCCCTGAGCTGTGGTTCTTTGTACTTTCAGAGTTTCTGGCCCAGGCCCTGGTGGATATACCCTGGCATGAAGACTGAGGAAATGCTATGTCCTTGGCCATGGATCAGTCTGCTAGGAATCTAGGCTACAACACAAGAGAACCTTGCTTTGGACTTGGCAACCATTCGCTGAACCAGAGCTATTTCACAGCCCCAATGTGTCAGCATTTGTCAAAGCAACTTTCTTTCTTACCAGCGATTACTTCCTAAGCCTCAACCTGAAAGGTGTTCTGACATGACCCACTTTCTGGGTTCTCACCATCAAGACTGAGTCAACAGTCCCTTGCTGCAGAGGGCTCTTGGGTGTGGAACTGGTCCTCCCTTAGTACTGATCCAATCCATTCTTCTGTTCTTTTAAGTAGTATCTTACGCTTTCTTTTGGTAGCCTGCTGGGCATGTGGGAGCAACCTTCCTTAGTTCTTACATTCCCCCTATCCACTGCTGGCACCACTTAATGGTAAATTTATCTTTGTGACCCACACCTCTCTCCACCCTGTGCAGTAGGGAAATCCTATCTTTCCCACTCTTCGAGAGGAATAAGAGAACCAAGTGGTGTGGCCAATGTCGCACAGAGATGGGAACAGAACGCAAATCTTACACATCCCTGCCCAGTGTCTTCATCCACAAAGCATACATTCTCCACTCACAAGCACACGAGAATCTCATTCTGGACCCTGCCCAATTTGCAGTTTTCAACAGGGTGGGATATGCTGCTAGCGGGAAGAATTCTGAGTCCGTCTGCTGTTCAGAACAATGTCGACACAACACAGGACGGGCAGGGGACTGCTGCACCACCAAGTCCAGTGCCCTCGTACACAGGCAACCATTTATCCAAAGAATCCCACATACAGTAGTCTAGGGATACAAAGGTGCAATTATTGTGACCTACTCTAGAAGCCTGAAACTTCTGCAAAAGATCTATAAGGCTACATGCAATTCAAAGAAAGAGACTGTATAACTAGTGGAGCCCACTAGTTTTGCAACACTTCATAGTGCTTTGTTTCATTACAGGAGAAGCACATGCAATGAAACAATAAAAATAATTTGATATTAAATGTCTGCTGCACAGCTTGAAAGCAGTCCAGGTTTTGACACTGAACTATCAGCATTTGTGCCACTGAAGAATGCTACTCAACAGCAACAACACAGTGATGGGTATAGACATCTTTAAAACTATGGGTTTTTCCTTGTTTGCAAACATAACATTATGGAGGGGGAACCCCCTCCCCAAGAGCTGTATTTAGGAAAGCTGAGAAGTCAGGCTTCTGATAAAAGTTTGTGTTTTGCTTCTGAAAGTTTTTGCTTGGAAAGCACTAGATAGGAGGAGGCAGTCAAAATGCTGCACATCTCAGGTTCCTCTCTAAGGGCCCTGCTACTTGCTCAAATTAAAGCTGGGTAGAAACCACCTGTAACTCACTTTGTAGCTGGCTGGCTCTTTTTATAGCTGGATAGTCATTTTTATGGTGTGATCATTACTGTGCGTGTGTGGCTGGTCTACATTTATTGGAGTTAATTGTGTAATATATGTAACGTGTAGCAAGGGCCTAACTGTCAAAGCAAAGTTAACAAAAAAACCCAAATCAATCAAGTAACCCCTGGCCAAGGAGAGGAAGAAAAATGCCCGCTGGCAGCTGCTTTCTGCCTGTAACTGAAATGAATGGTCAAACTCTTATTGATTTCAACTGTATGAAATGTGGACTCTGATCCTAAGCGCGTGCTAAGGGGGGAATCTAGTGGCAGTTACACAATCATACGGCACTTTTACACATGCTCCAGGGGGGCGGAGGTAGGTGGCACTTCAAGTAGAGCGGCTGTAAATTGAAGCGCTGCCCCGTCTCCTGCATCAGCATCCCCACGCTTATGAATGGCAGCAGGGGCGCTTGAATTACAACGAGCTTTAGTTCAAGCACCCCCACTGGTATTTTTAAGCACGGGGGATGCTGATATGCAAGGTGAATCGAGGACTAACCGAGTCTGCTCCAGCGCACTGGAGCAGCCTTGGTGCTGGTGTACAGGCGCCCAGAGGGCTGGGCCGGGCGGCTAGTCGGGGTCTAGTCCTGCATTTCTCCACCTGTGTGTGCATCACGGCCCAAACGTGGGTCACAAGGACTACTGCAAGAATGGCGAGCAAGCTTTAAAAAGGGATTCTCCTTTAAAAGGAGAGAAGCGTGGGAAAGCCCGGCTCTTCCCTTGCAGGCCGGCGGAGCTCCAGGCTGCGAGGGGTGCTTGGGGGCCGCCATACAT